AGTGACGTGTCACGGCATCTAAAATCTGCTGTATTTCCAGCGGACTAATTGTGTCTCTCTTCTCCTACTTTAGATCTATCCACACTCATGGAAATGTAACTGCATCTGACGCTGATGATAAAACCAAGGACCATCAGGCAAGATTGTGCAGTAGGAAACAGCGGTTCCAAATGAAGGCACTCACATTTAGAACTTCTACTTATTCTAAGGTATTAAAGCACAGTTTCACTTTAATTTTACTTCTTGGCAATCATTTTATCATACTAGCTTTGTAGGTTTAAAAGTTCTTATGTTAAAATGATGAACCATCAGAGAGGACTTCACTTTCCTTCTCTATGTTAAGAGAAAGAAACCAGCTGAGAAAAGATCCAGATTTTAAAGGGAATAGTTGCTATAATTAGGAAAGCATGTCACTTATAAGAAATAGGTTGAGTGTAGGTTAAAACTCAGTAAACTGTGTAAGAAGAACTGTAATAAATAAATGTCAGTTTAATAATTATTTTCTTAGGTCATGATCCTGAAAAGAGCACATGAATTTAGCACTCTAATAAAGTTTGTCTCGGTGGTAGCTGAGACCCAAGTGATTGTCCTTTAATTTGGTTTGAAATCTTGCTCTTCTCCCCTCCTCTCCCCCCACTGCCCTTCCCCCCCTTCTCTCCTCTCCCCTTCCCTCCCCTCCTCTCCCCTCCTATCCTCTCCTCTTCTCTCCTCTCTTCTCTCCTCTCTCTCCTCTCTCTCCTCCCTCTCCTCCCTCTCCTCTCCTCTCCTCTCCTCTCCTCCTCTCTTCTTCTCCTCTCTCCTCTGTCCTCTCTCCTCTCTGCTCTCCTCCTAAACTTATTGTTAAGGGTTTTCTATTCACCAAAAAGTGTCACTGGTACTCGTCATGGCCTATCTCTGTAGAACTTTGGGATTTGATGGCTTAGTTTCACTTGGACTAGCAAAACAAGATCTGTAATTAAAGAATCAAGTGACAGTTCTAAAACATAGGGTGTATCCCTACTTTAAAGACTACACAAGACAACTAAAAACAAAAAGGAAATGCAATATCAACAGAAAACAAAAAGTCCTCTCTATTTTTCTAAAATACACATAAATTCCAAACATGGCAAGGTTTAGTTAGTTGTTTATCTAAAAATAAAGTATTTCTTGTCGTAACCATATTTTTCAAACTAGGCAGAAAGTATGGAAAGTACTTTAGGCACAGATCAAAGTTAGTTTGTTTCTCTGAATATGTTAACAGAGATTTGCAAATTATTGTCTTGCTAGAATATAAAGAAGGTCAAAAATCTGAGAGAAATATTTACTTACTACTAGGATCCTTAAGTTCTGTTTTAGAAGAATAATATATCAGGTAGTAAGTTCCACAATTCTAAGATTTTATTACATTGGAAATTCTACAACTACCTCAGTTAAAATAACTAGATTACCTCCTAGAAGGCAACAATCTAGTTGAGCAAATTTTGCCAAAGAAAAGTGATTTCAGATTAAGTAGCAGATAAAAGAAGTTGCTTTGATGATAGGTTTCTTTTTCTTTTCTTTTTCTTTTTTTTTGAGAGAGGTTTTTGCTATAGGGTGCTTGTGCTTGCCAGAGAGAAAGAAAGAGAAAGAGACCGAGAGACAGAAAGTGAGAAATCATCCCCCAGGGGTATGGCCATGACTCAATCTCTTCTCCTCCATTGCCCTCTAAGGATGTTGAGTACTCATGCACATGTGCCGGTGCGAGATTTAAGCCTCTGGGTCTGGGACTCGCGTTGCCATCAACTACCTAGGAGCCCAGTACTCCATCTGCTGGTCCTATTTGATGATATATTTTAAAACTTCTCTGGCAGCTAATAAATGTATTAGCCTTTTCTAAATATTTTGGTGTCTTTTGAATTAAATAATGATGATTAAATATACAATTCGTCATATTATTAGAACCATTTTACTTAGTATTTTAGGTATGTCTTCATTTCTTTGATTATAGAATCTTCATTGAATGTAGGAGCTTTGCAAAGACTGATTCTGGATATGTAGAAGAATATAAATTATTCTATAACTTCATTTTGAATAAAGTTGAAGACATCTTTTACTTAGAATGTTTACTCTGGAGCTAGAGAGACTAAAAATACCCATCTGAAGCCGTTTACATGCATTCTTAAAACCAGCATATAGGATCATAATTTAGAATTCCTTCCTAAGTAATACAGTTAAATTCTGAGTTTTATTTATTTTAACAAAAGTAAAGATTAGGGAATAGGAAGTTCTGATCAATTGAATTTGCTAACATATTGGTTGTAGTTCTTACTTTTTTAGGATTCTACTCGTTAAACATGTCATATAGCCTAAATTAGGTTGCCTAAATCTTTAAACTAGGCATTTCTAATTCATCAATTTCTTTTTTTTAAGAATTATTTTATTTATTTGTTTATTTACTTATTAGTAGTAGTATTATTCAGTTTGACCAGAGAGAGACAAAGACAGAGAGAGGGAGAGTGAGAAAGCAAGCCGCCAGGTTCAGAACTTGAACCACAGTTGGCCATGTGGGAGTCCAAAACCTTGATCACCACACCACCTGCCAGCTTCTCTAATTCATCAATTTCTTTCTTTCTTTTTTTTTTTTTTTTGAGAGGTTTTCGCTATAGGGCGTGTGCTCTCGCTAGACAGACAGAGACATAGAGACAGAAAGTGAGAAATCACCCCTGAGAGGGGATAGTCACACCGCAATCTGTTCTCCTCCATTCTCCTCTCGGGATCTTGGGCACACACGCACACGCGCCTGGCGTGAGTTTTAAGCCACTGGGTCTGGGACACGAACCGCGGTTGACTATGGGGAGTCCAGCAACATAGCCATTACGCTAACTGCTGGTTCCCTCTAATTTATCAATTTCTTAATCTCCTCACTCTTTTGCAGACTTTCACAGAACAATGTATCCTATTCATATTTGTCATTTTCTCTCAGAAAATGAAGAAAAGTTAAAATTTCACAAACTAGTGCTTGAAAGTGTTATGTTTATATTTGAACAATATTTTCTTGTAATTTTTTTGAGTGAACTTTTGAGATTATGGGATTTTGTTGTTTTGGAAGATTAGAACAAAACAAAATCAGCATGCTAAGACCATGACTTAGGGTCTTAGAACATTTGGAAGTGTATGTGCCTTGGACTACAGTTTACATTAAGTTCAAATAGTAGCTCTTAAAAATGTTGTCTAGGCTCAATAAAATATTTGAAAATAAATTTCAGCAAGGTGTATCAATGGGCATTCCTTGCAGCTTTCACCATGATATGAGGTAAAGAACATAAACTTTGACTCTTCAGTTTCATGCTTCCTTGGGGAATCAAACAAGTATTTCTTGATTTTCTTTCTATAATAATGTTTAGACTGATAAAAATGGATTAGTCATATAAAATCATATAAAAAACACTTCTCAATGTAAAATTAATCAAGTCAGAGAAGACCACACTACTGAAGAACCATTCAGAGGTATCTTTCTTATGGCAGAAAGCAGGTCAACTCACACTACTACTGAGAAGCTTGTAAAACCAGTTTCAAAGTTAATGACAAATATTATGCTTGGAGAGAAAGTAAAATGAGCTTTTGGCAAAAATCCCTTATCTCAGGCATACCATCTGGAAAAGCAATTACTGTCATGTGCACATGCTGGTGGATATTTTGGTTTCCAGTTGGATGAAAGCACTGATGTACAGAGTGCATACCAGCACTTGATGTATTATTATTTATCACTGAGAAAAATCACTGCAGCAGAACAGTTTTTGTTGTTGTTGTTGTTGTTGTTATTTCTCTTTGTTATAAGCAGTGGTGGTGGTTGGTTGTTTTTTTATAGCATTATAGCCAAGGAAAGTTGCATCGGTTCCTTCTGATAAAAGCAACAGAACTTGAACTGCAAGAAAGTACAAGAGGTTGCTTGATGAATAAAAGAGGTTGCAGTAGGATGTCAATTCATTGCCCACATTTTTCCAGACATAAGAACTGAAGTTTAGTAATGTAGTCTTTTATCATGTGTCAAAGAACAGAGTAAAATTTGTCAAAGTAAACAATTTTGGAGACAAAGCCACATCTTTACAGAGTTTTGTGAGGAAATGGTCAGCAACTATACTAATGTCCCTGCTTTTCTCCCAGTGACGTTTGCAAACTGTAGGGGAAACTTGTATATGCTTATTAGTTTTTCAGAAAAATGAGATAAAGAACTACTTCTTTACTACTAGTCGTGCCATTCTATAATTTCAAGGGACATAATTTACCAAATACCTTTAGTATTTTAAGTAGTCTGAATTTAGAACTTTGTATCCAAAATATCATGAGTTTTAGTGTTAAAGATGAGATAGGATTTTGCAAAAGTCTGAATTATGGTACAAAATGATCTAAGAGTTTGACCATTTCTCTATACTTCATGATTTTATTAACTTATCAAAGAAGAAACTGAATTTATTGTGGATCTCTAGAAACCACATCCAGATTTTTAAATTGAATATGAAGAAATACTTTCCAGAGCCAAAAGGCATGCAGAGAGTAGATTAGGAACCTTTTTGTTTTGATCTCTCAAGCTGAAGCATTTAACTTCAGCTTTGAGTGCGATAGGCTTTTTTTAGCATTCAATGGAATGCTGAAAGTTGACTTCAGTTGAGAAATCTTGCTATAATTTCTGGATCTATGTTTAATTATACTATCTAGACTGTATAACATAGCTGATTTGTAATTTATAATTAGTAATTTAATTCAGTAAAAACAAAAAATTAGAAAGAAACAAGCTGAATATGAACATTGGTTTATGGCTTAATCTGATTTGAGACCTGGTGCCTTAAACATCTTGAAATAAAATTTTCAAACATTAATAGAGTTGAGGCAGAATAACTCAGGTGCTCTATCAGATGGGCTTTGACTGGCTAAAGATGAGACAGTTTGAGTATCAGTAAGCATAACTACAGTATAATAAATCATATCAAATATGTTTAAATCCATGAGTTTATAATGATACTTAAAAAACCTTATTAGTCTTCTTTGGAGTATGCTAAGGAACCAATTGTGCTTCAGGGTAAACAAATAGTTTATTAAGGGAAGACTTTTTTTTTTGGTCTCAGAAGCATTCTAGTTAATAAATGAAGAGTGTGATGATAGACTAGAACATCAGCATTTTAAATAAATTCCTGGATCTAAGCAAAGATTATCAGAGGCTTGCTAATATCCCAAGAAGACAACCAGATATTAG